CTCAGTATGCTGGAGGGCTTTGACTCACCCCCTGAAGACCTCTAGTCCTCCCCACATGATGTGTCAGGAACCCGCCTCATGCTAGGTTTTGGATTCTGTTTTATCACCACATGCTTCAGTTTGTGCCACTGCAATACCAAAACTGAGGGGTGTCTAACCACCACGTTTGATTGCTGAGGAACCAGAGCCTAAATTCATCAAGGCAAAGTAATTAATAGTGTGAGTTTTATCAAAATCCGTGTAGGAACTGCTTGTGAAACTGCATTTTCATATCCCCTTTCAGATTTAGTTCTCTGACAATGAGTAATGCTACAGAAGTTGCTGTGCCCGGTATACTTTAGGGACTTTAGCAATGCTCTCTGCCATGCTGCGAGTTAGCCTCCCTTTCTCTGAGGTATCTGCTCCTGTGAAGGGAGTGCTTTCACCCCCAGGTTGAAATGGGTCTGGGCAACCCACCTGATTTCCCCTGTACTGCCCAGGAACCCGAGGAAAAGCCACATGCCAGTTTTCCCAACACACAGCTGGCATCTTGACCACATACATTTTTCCTGCCTGCCTTTGAAAATGTTAACAAAAAAAAATTAGGCTCTTTTTTAACCAAATAAGCACACTTCTTTGTGGTGTTTATATCTCTGGTGCAGTGTCTAGACATAAGCAACAATTAGCTTTATTTTGTATAATACAATGATCATCTAGGACAGGAGAAAGGCTTGTAGGGCTAAATACAATGGGTATCAAGAGTGTCATGGTTTACTTCCTGAGCATTGCACATACCATACTATCTGAGGCAGACCAAAATCAGAGCTGAGCAAATCTGAGAACAAAAAGGAAATCAGGCAGGGAGGACAGGAATAGCTGCCTTCCTTGATCTCAAACCCCTTCCTAACATCAGCAGTCTGCTGGTTTCTCCAAGTGAGACAGAAATCAGTGGATTAAGAGACAAATGTAAGAGACATTAAGAGACAAAAGAGTTTTCATTGTAAACTGGCCCATGTCCTTACATGACAAAACCCTGGATAATGTTATTTTACATAATTGGTCATAAACCCTGAGTTACTTGAGGTTTAAGACTTTATTTTTTGCTGTCAACTTACTTTTCAATGCAAAAATAATTTGCAACCCTCCACTCCACCACCATAAATATTTTCCACAACAAAGTGTTTGTTTCTGAAAGTCCCAGATAATGAGTCATACTGAGTTTGAAAAAAAGAAGCAACATATTTTTGAATGTATTAACAATATTCTCTCACAGCCAGCTGTTCCCCTTCATTGCACAGCGTGAAGAGGTGAAAAGGAGCAGAAAAACTGCAGTAAGAAAGACAAAAAACCAAAGCAAGGATCAAGAGAAACATGTCAGGCTGCAATATTACACCTAACTTTGGAATTGCCTACGTGTTGTGCAGAGAGCGTGGAGCTGAGGGTCTCTTCATGGAGTTCCAGGTCACTAGGAAGTGCAGTCATGGAGCAAGTGCACGAAGCATGTGCATCCCTAAGAAAGGTCTCCAGATTTTTATTCAAAAAACCCCAGAAGAATGGAAGAAGCAAAAATAAATCTGACATTCAACTATTTTTAGGAAGTTATTGGGTCAAGATGCTCCAGAAACCACAGTGGAGGGAAATGGGTGGAAATCAAGACATGTTAGAACACGTTTCTTATTCTACAGTCTTGTTTTTTCTCTGAGTTCATGCGATTCAAAAGTTGTTTATGAACAATTTTACAGATGGATGCGCTCTTTATCCAAAATGCAAACTGCTTAGCCAGATGGCTTCACATCTGGATTAGTCTGCAGCACAAACCAGAAAAGAGTAGTTGCATTTTTAAGCAGCTGCTATCTGTAGGGTGATGATCACTGAAGACATTTATATCAATATAATTTGCGAATGGTATTTATTTCTCTACTTCTGACAAGCCGCAGCGTTCCGGTGGAAACATTTCAGAATGTTTGGGTGTCTGATTTTCTTTATCATGATCGCAATGGAAACTTATTGCCTGATTGCATGCACTGGTATTGGGAAACCCAAACCCGGTTAAAAACAGAAGAATAGGTGTTTAATGTGAAAATTAAGTAACGCAAGTTCTCACATAAACTGATAATGCGCTGAAGCCCCTTATCCAAAATCTTGTCTCAAACTAAAAGGAAGATTGAAGCTTTTAAGAAGACAGTATTAAAAAAATGCCTTCTGTGAGCCACCCTTCCTTACCTTCATCCCTGTTGATAATTAACTGAATTAATTTCATTTCATAGGGAAAAGAAACAAATTGATTCCCCAGCCTAACTGTGCAACACTGTTCTGCAGGCTTTGTATCAGCAGGTTTACAGCATGTTTACACAGGTTATATTCTTTCAGCAACTATTTATATTTTTGGCACCAACTGCCTTTCATCTACACATAAATTATCTTTTTGTTTCCTTTTTGCTTTATCTTGTAATTTATTCTGTGGTTTTGTAATCATTCTTGGAAGCAGTATGACTTCATCTTGGAATGCATTGTACTGTCATAATGTTAATGTGGACAAATTCATTAGCAGTCTTCAGAGAGTTCCCATCCTGCAAGGAACACAAAATGCATGGCTTTAGATCTGGATCAGGCAGCCTGTTCCTACTGCTTCATGGCTAGTGATGGTCTGAAATGGCTTCACTGAGCCCAAAATATTTTCTGAAAAGGACTTGGGTTCCATTTCTCTGCCTCCGGGGCTGGTTTCGAGGCTGCTGGGGAACCCACTGCTCATGCCTCTGACTGAGGAGCAGACAGCCCACTGGGCTGGTCATCGGGGGCCCTCATGTTCAGCTCTGGGGCAGCTCTCCTGCTGTGCCAGGTCTCTTGGGCTGCTTCAGGTGTATGGGACAGGAATGCCCTCCCTGCAGTCTGATTGCCTGATCATCCAAAGTGGACAACCTCTTGTATTCACAGCTCCTGGAGTATAGACCATAGACCTGGCACTTGAAATCCTGAAACTGTCATCAAAGCTTTGCTTTCAGTGTTGTGGTAGGAAAGCTGGAAGTGATGAGAGCCTGGCCAGCTCAAGTTGTCTATCCTGGGAAAGGCGGCAGTCTCCACGCCTGTGGTCCCTCCTCCTGCTCAGCCTCCTTGTGCTGGTCAATCCTAACCAATGCTACTGGGGAATCCTCACTGAATTAAGACAAACCCAAGTTTGAATCAGCCCAAAAGTACCTACCTTGGGTTTTGCACAAGGTCAACTAAACATGTAAACTCTTTTTTTTAAAGGCAGGGCCATATTCCAGCTTGCATAAAAATATTCCAAGTCTCATTCATGCTACTCGCATGTAGCACTGGCGGGCAGTTGTCGATCTGCTCCTTTTCTCCTAGCACGTATAGGAGCTGCTGGGCTGCGCTATGCTATTAGCCGCTGTAGCAGAGAGGAGGCGGCTGTAGGAGCAGCAGACTGCAAAGAGAAAGCTTTCTGCAGCCTGGAGGTTTTGCCCCCCTCCCCCGTCTTCAAGGTTTTTACATCTGCTCCCATAGTCACCAAAGAGAGAAAGATATATACACTCATATACCAACCCACAACAAAACCCACACAGGCAGAGCTGAGGAGCTCTCACCAGGAAGCTGACTTACCCTAAACCACTCCGCTATTTCTCGTCATACTACATCTGGGTCTGCTGTCACTGCTGCTTCCGGATGAGCTAGACCCAGTTGCCAGGACTAATTTGGCCTGTATGTGCAGTGGTCTCTGGTTACCTCTTGTGGTTGGTTTTTTTTCCTCTCAATAATATAATTGTTCTAATCTGCTAAAATAGAAGTCCATCTGAAAAAGCCAAGAGCACAGAACGCCACCTTCTTTTTTTCTTCCCCTATCTCATCTAGAATAGTTGACTTCCGCAACGTTTATTTCCAACAGCCGCTTTCAGCTTCCTGCGTCTGGTGAGTTCTTTGCGTTTTCTTTTTTTTCTAAATGTCTTAATGTGAATTGATATTCTGAATCAAATTCAGTATCTTTAGTTTTACTTTGTTAATAAGTTTGTGAAATTGATTCACATAATCGGTTTTACTTTTAGTACCATCTGTTAAATACTTAGTATTGTGGTATCCTGTTAAACAGTGGTCTAATCCTGCCCCAGGTCATGTATCTTCTGGATTTTCATTTGTTCCAGAATTTGTTTCCACTTCAGCTTAAAAAAGCCTTGTATAAAAGTAGAAAGAGGGGTGTGAGGGGCTGTGCCATGCCAGTATTTTTCATGTTAACTGATGTTAAGAAAAAAGAGAGAAAATGGGAATTACTGTGAAAGTGATGGGTCTAACTCTGATCCTCTTTGCTGTTGTGTGAACTATGAACCCAGGAGAGAGAGGCGTGTGTAAACCTGCAGCACCTCAAAGGATGGCTTTCTTCCCCATTTGTGAAGTACATCATGGTTATGAGAAAGCTGTTCTGCTTCATCTCAAATGTTCCCAAGCAAATTTAGGTGAAGATTTTATTGTGAGAATTTGAGAAAGGTGAAATTTAGGTTCTTAGGACTGAAGTGAGAGTCAAAGTATTTTTAATTTGCCAACATATCTGTCACTGGCTCTGGTTCCAGCGGCTGCCTGGCCCCGCTGGGTCTAACAAGCACCTCTGCCACCTTCTGAGATGGAAGGGCTTTGTTTGCCGTCTGAATGGCTGTCGCTGTAACTCTTTGCTTTCATCTCACCCCCACGGCTTCTTCTCTGCTGCTTTCTGAGCCAACTGTGGCACGCTCATGGTGTGGGGTTCCCTCAGAGAGCAGTATGCGTGTGTGTGCATGTGTGCACATCTGTGCACAGCCATTTCTAGATTCTGCTTACAAAACCTGCATCTTACGACGCTTTAGCGGTGGTGGGATGGTCTTGTCACATTGCCAATGAGAGGTAGTTAATCTAAAAGGTGAATGAGGAGGAAGCACACAGAGGCCGGAACCATCCCTCTGACACAGGTCCCCGCAGAAAATATGAATGCGGCTTTAAGATTTTCTAACTTCTTTCAGCCGTGTTTCCACCTGTGGATGGGGCGGGAGTGGGGCTGCGGCATCTGGAGGAGGCCAGCTTTAACACGGGATTTGTCCTGAAGAAAATACTTGCAGAGGAAAAAGGTAAGATTAATGAGATTAGGTAGTTGTTAGCAAGCCGATCTGTCAGCATTTTTTTGGTGTCAGTACATGCCCGTCTGCTGCTGCTGTCAGAATAAGGTGGGATTGTGCATCCCATTGTGCTGCTTTGCATTTCACATTTCCAAACTCCACCATTTAGAATCAGTGGATGTTTACAAATGCTCCAGTAGAAAAGGCCATACACATATACTTACTTGACTTTAGAACGGGTTTTAATCTGATTTTTCAAAGACAGCTCTGAAGATGTATCACAGATGTATCACAGAAATGAAGTCCAATTTACCAGAGAAAATGTGTACAGACTTGATGTGAATACCACGTTTGAGACTTGGGCAGTAACCGCAGGGTAGAAAAGCCCCATGTGCACTTGCTTCCTGCTCGATTGAGAGAGTAAGCCTTGGTGGGGCATAATACCAAGCTTTATATTCACTATATTTGGTGCTACAAACCAGGAAAAATAGTAGTTTTGTATTTATAGGGAATCTGTGTGTTTTTATAAGTAATCTGTACTTGCTATCTAAGTTCCAGAGCAAGGAATTAGAATTAAAAAAATGGACTTGATTCTCATGTATAGCAAGACACAAATTCATAGCCCATCGGCAGGGCAAAGTGGCTGTAAATTACTGTCATTTAATCCTATCTTAAGGGAATTTTACTGTGCCAAAGCAGCGTGAGATGGCCTCATGGCAGAAGAGCATCAGGCCTCACATGATTGCCTATATCAGAAGACAGTCCCTCTAGCTACATGCAGCACAGTAAAACCATGAAGTTGGAGCTATACCTCCAGAAAGTTACTAAAAATACTTTTCCAGCCTGTTGACCAGCTTTCTCAAGAAAATGTTTATATGTAGAAGTTTAATAGATTCTGTCTCAGCCGCTCCATTGGGAGTGTGAATTTGGGGATGAAATGAAAGCACTCTCCCTGCTGCATAAACCCAGCAACTGAGAGACTGATGCTAAAGTCGCATCAGCTGGTAACAGCTGCCAGTGCCAGTGATATCAAGGAGGCAATCTCTTGTACAGCGAGGGGCAAGCCATGTAAGTCCTTAAAGATATAAGTGGACGCTTTGCAGTATATCCAGAACACATAGGAAACGAGCAGAAATTGTGGTGGCAGTCTTGCAGGCTGCACCTCTGGCCCGTCTTGTAGAGCAGCGGGGCTGTACCAGCGGAAGCTCCTGAGGAGCTTTTCTTGGTGACACTTTCTGATAACCAGCCGGGAGGACACCCGGGCAGAGAGATGAAATTCTGCTGTTTCTCCTTTTGATTTTGCTGTGCAGCTCTAGATGCATAGCAGCAGCTGTGTTAGGAGCTTTAAATGAAAAAGATTTTCAATGGAAAATACCTCTTCTCTCTAAAGCAAGCACCCCCATTTTCTTTGTAAAATGTTGGTGCTGTGATTCTATAGTTTTCCTTAAGAAACAGTCAACTGTAACTGAATGCACAGTTCAAGTGATTAATTCGATTTGGCATTGACCATACAACGAAAAATTGCAGAATTTTTTATAATGCTTTTGATTACGGTTTGAAAAGAAATAAAAGAAGTAACTGTGAAACTTGCTTTTTTCAAAGACTTCATGTGACATTTCAGGCATCACACTACACAGCTTAACATCATTTCTAAATTAGGTTCTCACTTTTTGGCCAGCGGTGTGTGGTTTTATTAAATCAGCAGTTTTCAAATGTTTCCATGCTATGAGCACAACTTACAGCTGAAAAATGTCTTGGGATAACCCCAGCGTAGTAATTAAGAAAGGAAATCGGCTGCAGATTTCTCAAGCCCACTATTAAAGCATTACGGCTTTAAAATACTGGACAGGATCACACAAATACAACAAAGCAATGTAACAACAAAATTTGTGGGCTGTAGCCTACCATTAGCTCTTCTCCACAAAACCAAATACAGTTTCATATGTGCTTAGCAGAATTTAGTTGTGCTTCAATTCTTATGTCAGTGAAGAACTGGAAAACCTTCCTAATCCACCAAAAGCGTTGGTCTACAGTGGAAGGGGAGACATTTGGAGCCAGCAAAACCTCTGTAATGCGGCAGTGAGCATGAGCACTGGAAGTCATGGGTACAAAACCTTGGCGTATCAGGTCTAAAACGAGCAGCTGCCAAAGTAGCAGGGAGCAATAGTCCCAGCAGTCACGTTCTGCTGGAGGCTGTGCCAGAGGATCGCTGTCACTGCCGGCACGGCAGCTGGACGATAGCTGGGAACATGGTCTGAACACTTACTGCGTATGTGTGTTCCTTGCAGAGCGGGTATGGGAGTATTTGCTTGTGCCTAGCCCCGCTCGTGGCTGTGCCCTGCATTTGTTCCAGATTCTTTGATCGTTCCCACCCTGCACAATCACTTGCCACTGTGTCTGCGTCGTATTTCTTTTGCACAAGGAATCGCATTTGGTCTTTGGTTACAGAAGCCAAGAAGTGTAAATTCCTAAGGGATGAGGATGGGGCTGAACTTGGCATGCTTGTCTTTACCTGACGAAATGTATGAACCCACTGGAAACCACATGTAGATTCTGCTATGGTTTGGGGGTTCCCCAATGGGGGGCCGTGGTGATCTATCGCATAGGAAAGACCCAGCATGTGCCAGAAAGGGAATGAACACCTCTTCTGGCAGAAGCTGGCACGAAGGGCTGTGGTTACGTACTGTGCACGATGCCACTTGTCACACACAAGTGTGAGTGTGGAGTACCAGTCTCAATAACTGACACTTGCCCGGTTTGAGGTTGTTGTACCATCTGGTGATATCTCTTTTCCTCATGAGTGACAGTGAGTTGCTTTTGAAGGTTGTCCTGGTTTATGTCAAACTACAGATAAGACCGGCTCTCCTAATAGAAAAGTGTGAGACCAAGACCCCTATGTAGTTAGGGGTCTGTTTTGGTCATCTCCTGTGCACACAGTGATCGAAAGAATATGAAACCTCTCACTCTAGCAAGAAAACCGTTCTTTCCTTTTGTTGATAGACATGCCAGTGGACACACAGTTTGCAACTTGCCGTTTTTTCATTAAATGACTGTGCTTAAAAACTGGTAAAGTCTTCAGAGTTCAAAGTTATTGAATTAATGACATACTGGATTATCTATTAACTTCCTCCCATCATCTGTGTGCTTGTGTTTTTCTCATTACAAAAATATATTATAAAGCATCTGTCTTAAAAACCCCTCATGTAATTTCTTTTGTTTCCATCAATTTAAATGCAGGTTTTAAAATTCATGTATCTTTCAGTGGAGTTTTAATTCTGGATGAAAAGCCATTGGGTAAAATATCTCTGAGTTTACATCAAGTTTGCCAGGATTCAAAAATAAA